GTTTAAAATGTACATACATTAAAAAAAAAAAAAAAAACCTTTGCAGGATTTACGGTTGATGACCGCTAAAACGCATTATCACAGTTTGTAAAAAGGGTCCCTTGTTGTATGAGTACACATGACGTTTCACAACTTGCAAGCATGAACTCATGAACATGGGTATAACAGTTATTTTTCTCACACTTATCACGTTGCTTCAGAAGAAATATTATATGGATTACCGTCGTAATTGCTTTATGTTGTTTTTGAAGCGTTAACTTTTGGGCTGCTATCCACATGCATTATATGGACTCACAGAGATGGATTGTTTTTCTAAAAAACTTTATTTGTGTTCATCTGAAAGAAAGTCACATAAACCTGGCACATCATGAGTAATTATTTTTTTTATTTTTGGGTGAAGTATCACTTTAAGATCAGGCCAGAACCATGAGATATGAATATCAACATGGAAAAGTATTTAACGATTGAGCACATGTGTAAAATTCAAAACTGATTTTTATACATTATTTTTTGTTATGTATAATAAAAATAAAGTATAAAATATTATACATAAATAGTCATATAATAGTAACCATACAGTAGATCTGTGTGCATGCCTCTTCCTTGTTTATCATGTTTATTGTTTTACATTATGGTCAGAGTTATATTGTTGTCATTCTCTCCAGGTGGTTTCTCATGGTGGACAATCTTGTGTGTAATGACTGGATCAATAGTGGGAGTTAGTCTTGGCTTGCTGTGCTGCATCTATGTGTCTACACTTCATGAAAATGACCTCTGGTTCTCCAATATAAAGGTAAAATCCAGAGCTTTTTTATGTTCAGTGTCCTGAAACTCGGGGAGACAACATTCTATTCGTGATTAATTTTCTTTTCAGGCTTTGGTTAAAAGACAAAGGTCTTTTTAGTATTCTTAGGCAATGTTCCTAATATAAAGAACAGCTCAAGAGATTTAGATTCATAATGCGTGGTTGCGTTTTGTCAGTGATGGTGCTCTCATCTGTCTCATTTTTCATACATTGCCTCTTGAAAAGGAATTGTTTTCCATATGTGCTGACAGATTATTTTTCTTTCCCTTTTTGGCATAACAGTCACATAAACAGTTAGCCAGAGTTTGGGCTGCAGTTTGTGTTATGACTTCCAGACCTGAAACAGATGAATCCACCATGCCATAAAAGTTATGTCATGTTCAGTTGGATAAATCAGCATGTCCCTGTATCCCTGTTCGCTCATTAAAATAATACAGATCAGGAGTAGTTTAACCACATCTCCCAATCAGTGCAGGATTTACTGCCGCCGGTTTTGCAATAGGGTTAGTTTACTGCCACGCAGTATGGGAGCAAGTGTTTGTGCGCGACTTGCATCTTTTGTTGGAATCAAGGCCTAGTTTTCATTTAGTGAAGCTAACAGAAGCCAACCCTGTGCTGCTTTCATGTGAGCTTTGAACATTTTGTCCTCCGATTATTTTGTTTCTCAGAACATAATGTATCTCATAAATACCCTGATTGAATATGCACCACACTTCATAACACCAGATAAGAGTGCCTTTTTTTTCTGAATGTGTTGACAGGGTATTTTTCAATTTCTTTCTTTCTTTCTGCTTTCAGGCATATTTAATAGTCTAAACAGCATATTTACTCTATCCTGGATGAGTCCCCTGATTACAGTATGTTGCATTTTCATCTAGGTTAAAGATGCAACATAAAGTGGACAGTAGACGCGTTTCCATTACATATTTGCGCAAAACTTTGGCGATATTTTATAAATGTCGATAAAAAACTATTGCGAAATGACGGCGTTTCCATTAACCAATGTTATGAGATAAGTCATGGCAATGGATTTTGGTGGGATTTTGACGGATTTTGGCTATATTTATTCAAAGGAGGCTTATGCGAAGATTACAGAAGCAGCAAAGAGAGCTTTTGCCTCTCGCGATAAGTCATGGCAACGGATTTTGGTTGGATTTTGACGGATTTTGGCTATATTTATTCAAAGGAGGCTTATGCGTGTATCTTTACAGAAGCAGCAAAGAGAGCCGCTTCAGAAACGTGCGTGGCGCGGCTGGAATAAACCATAGACTGTATAAAAACATAAACACAAGCATTGAGTGGCCGTAATCAGCTTCAGTGACCGTATCAGAGCCACACTGCACCGCAGACGTGTGCAGTGTAAATTGTCTAAGCATTAATAGTAGGGAAAGCCCCCTATACTGGAGCGCGGCCAGTGTTTCTTCGCGGTTATAGTACATTGACGAATGATCGACTTTTTACATACGCCATGGGACCTGTAAATGCGAAAAAGCCGTTTCCATTGCAGTTTTGCGAATTATTCCTTTTTCGCATTGCCTGAAAAACCACCTCATGCGAGCGTAAAAACTTTTTTGCGATATATGGGCGTTTTTGCGAAATTGACGCGTTTCCATTAGGCGTATTTTCAATTCGCAATTTCAATTTGCGCAATTTAAAGGGTAATGGAAACGCGCCTAGTGTTAACTAATGGTTCCAAACCCAACTTTTTGGAGGACTTTCTCCCTAAATAAATGCACCAGATTCAGCTTGTTAGTAGAGGGTCTAAGACATAAAATGGGTTGCAGATGAGGGGGACATTGCTGTAAAAGTAACCTTTAAAAAAAAAAAAAAATGGGGACACAGATGGAATGTATATGACACCGATTCAAAAGATGTTTTTGTTATGCCTGGTTTATAATAGTGCAGCATGTGGAATGGATAGCACAAAAAGGTCATCTCAAGTTTAAAATGAAGTCAGAGTGTGACAGCAGTGGAAAAAGGAAGCTCATTCACGCTGACTGGTGTTTTACGGCTTGCTTAGGAGTCATCTTACTTTTATCTGTCCTCTTGCTTTTCTGAACGTGACTGAAATGATGGCTGTGAATGGATGACCACAGTTTTAGTCCCCATATGTTTCTGTCATTCTCCGGTTAAAGAGCACCTCCAGCACTGAGTGAGCATTTGAGGAAGAGTGTGTTTTATTTGCAGGCAAATTAATCACCTGTTCTGTTTCAGAGGAAGAGCTGTGGGAATGTCCACTGGTTAACAGCTAATCAAATGTTGTAGCAGAAAGCTCAATTAGAAGCACAGACACATTCCGCATTGTTTTTATAATCGTTTCCACTCTTTCAACGGGAAACAGCAGTGAATTTCACAGAGGCTGTGTAAATGTTCTCAGCAGGAGTTGGTCTTCCAGTATACTAAGTTTCGTAAATGACGATATTGCCGTTATTTTTGAACAAAGGCATTTGATATCCAGTATGCTTCTTCTCTGGGACACCACCCTTTAAAGCAGGGTAAACTTTTAAATCCATTGCGTGTGAAGTCATGCCCATGATGGTTATAGCGCCACACAGTCTTAATTTCAAACTGGATGTCGTTCTATTGTTAGTTCAAATAACAGTTTTTTGCAAATGCTCTTAAACTTTTTCTAAATGACGTTCCAAGCGTTTTTCCCCCATCTTGTTTTATGTTTTTTCCCCTGACTAACAAGAGGTCACTACTTGTGCGGCCCACATGCCTTCCTTCCTGTCTCAGCCCCTCTCTCTGATCACATGTAAAATGTTCCTCCGGCAGATTGCTGGTTGGTGCCGACTGCCAAAATGCCAAGTTTCTTGTCTGCTTTCTGTTATCACTTATGTAATCTGAGAGCTATCAAAGGAATGCTTCATTACATAACCATATCAGTGTGACCGGTCTCAGAAAATAGAGGAAATGTACAACTTTGCTCTAAGTGGTCTTTGCTCAATCTAATTGGCCTAACAGCCCCATTTGGAATGGATTTTCTTTGTGCTTCTACACTGAAAAACTTCACAATTAGGTCATTAGCCAATAAGACTGAAATGGTAAGAAACACAGCAGTGCCAAAAGCTGTTCTCTAGACACTACAATTGGGCCTTTGTACTTAAAGTAGAGTAAAAGCATATTCAGAGCATTGCTTTTCTATTAAGCAATCATAAAAATTGATTACTGTAAACCATCATAGCTGTAGTACTATCTACAATAGTATAAAGTAAGTTGAGGTTGTTTATTTTGAAATCCACTTCCATTATACCAATTAATGACAATTTTGGTCTGCATTTACAATTATGGAAAACAAAGTATTTCGCCTGCATATAAGTTCTAGATATTATCTAAGCCATACTGCTATACAAAGGCAAAATATAGTAACTACACATTCTGTCAAAATACTAGTGTCTTAGACTATGATCTGTCTGTGACAGATGGGTCTGTCTCAACTATGTTTAAAAAAAACTGATTGTGAAACTGATACAGTAGTGTACTACTGTACACTCCTGTTAAAACTTTAGGGTCACTAAGATTTTTATTATTATTATAATTTTTTTTAGAATACTTATACTTTTTACTATATAATACTATATATTTTTTAATACTTTTATTCAGCAGGGTCACATTTAATTTACCAAAAATGACAATAAATATTTATAATATTATAATATGAAAATATTTGCATTTCTAATAATTGCTGTTCTTTTCTATTTTCTATTGATCTAAGAATCCTGAAAAGATGTATCACAGTTTACACAAAAATATTAAGCAGCACAACAATAAGTTTTTCGCACTGATAATAAGAGGAAATGTTTCTAAAACACCAAATCAGCAAATTAGAATGATTTCTTAAGAATCATGTAACACTGAAGACTGGAGTAACGGCTACAGAAAATTCAGCTTTGACATCACAGAAAAAAATTAATAATACTAATAACAATATGATTATTTTAAATTGCAATAATATTTCAAAATATTACAGATTTTTTTATTTATTACTGAGTTTTGATCAAATAAATGTCAACTTGATGCGCATGAGACTTTTTTTTTTTAAGTCTTACTTAGCAAACTTATAAAAGGGAGTGCACACTGATTTTTATGTAACCTTATTTTCTGATAACAGTACCTAAATCCTAAGGAAAAAAATAATAAAATAATTTAAAAAAGATTGCTCGCTTATTAAGCAGTAGTGACAGTCCTATGCTTCAGATACTTTGTACTTGTGCTTCTTAGCCATGCTTTCCAGAGTACTTAGTGACCTCCTAAAGAATTAGACAACTTTCTACATTTTAGCTTTCATAGTTTTATGAAAGCTGCAGTACTACAAATGAACATGATTTATTAAATTAGCCAGTTTGGGTTCATACTAAGTGATAAGAGTCAAAGTCTATCTGTGCAAAGTTTAACCTTTTGTATAAGTTTACCAGGTTGTGTGTGTTCTTGTGTTCACAGGTCTTTATGAGCTTATTCATGACAACACTACTGAATCAAAGAGAACAATAAACATCCTACAGCGCATGAATATCTACCAAGAAGTGTTCCTTAGCATTTTGTACAGAATACTTCACATCCAGGTGTTCAATCACTTCTGTTTTCTTTGTAAGATGTATAGATTATCTTGGGTTTTTGCCCCGTCCTATGTGTATTTGTGTCTGTTTGTTTTACAGACCTACTTGGAGCCAATTTATTTCTACATCTACACAGTGTTTGCTTTGCAGACAGTGTATGTCATCTCCCTCTTTATCACTAGCTGGTTACTCAGTGACTCATGGCTGGCTGGAGCCCTCAGTGGAGTCTGGTACATTCTCAACAGGTATGTGTGCACAATCAGTCTCTCATACACACAAAACTCACCTTTGCAGTCCATCTGGCATAAATACGTAAATGCTTATTATGATGCAGTGAGCATCTCAATTCAGGTAAAGTGTGAAAGCTGATACGTTTCTCTAAAATATGAATTGAAGCTGTCAAGGACAGCACTGAAATGAAATTCGTAATTTAAGGCACTTTTATTCAATACCACGGGCCACCTGATAGGCGGTGCCCCCTGGAGAAATCTCAATATTTAAGAAGCTCTCTTTGACCACAATGTTTAAGAAATCAACTTGTGAATGGCTTATAGTTGTTTCTGCATTGTAGAACATACTGTAGAGTAAAAAAAAAGTCACACAACTCATTTCACTTTGTTCTTATGTTTTCTTTTCTCACAGCTTAGGCCTGTGTTTTCTGTGTTTGATTGCAGAGTGGATACCACACGCGTGGAGTTTACAATCTCTCTAAGGGAGAACTGGTCAATACCTTTCTTTGCTCTTCAGGTGGCTGCTATAACCTGCTACTTAAGGCCACAGCTAAAGCCTATTCACCAGGTAATGTCTATTCCGTAACCATTTCCGATTTAGATTAGTGATGAAAAGTCTGATTCTTTTCAGCAAACCAGTTCTTTGGACAGTTCATGTTAGTGAACCAGTTCAAAAAAGTATTAATCTTTTCTTTTACATCATCAGATGATTATCACTAATATGTAATGCTATCATCCCAGCGGGTGAAAATACATGCTTAAACACTGCATAAATAATACTCAGTAGTAAAATTATTTTTTCATTTTTATGTCTTGACTGAACAGTTTTTGCATGTTATAATAAGATGTTGTTGAATATAACTAGTTGTACTATGCATTTGTTTTTAAAGAAACTTACCTTTCACCCCCTCATTCAAGTCCTTGGTTCATGCAGGCTCATAGACTTTAGTCAGGTTAGACACTAATTAAACACACTGAATTTTATGCAGATGAAAACCAGGCTGTGAGGGATAAACTTAATGGCACATGCTATTAAAGGGGTCCTATTTGGCACCACTCGGCGCCCGGTCGGGAAATGTCATCTCCCTTACCATAGCCGCCTGCGAGCTTCAATGTAAATATTGCGTCAAAATCAAATCAATTTGAGCGTGGTTTAAACCCGGATGATTGTAACCACTCTAAGTTCATCTAAGATTTTTTTATGCTCAAACAGCAACATTACAGACTAACTAAAGTTGAAAAAGTGAAAAAGCATAATAGGACCCCTTTAAGATCCTAAATCCCATACTTTTCGTGTAATCAGTATCATTAATCATATCCCATTGTGAGTTGAAATCGTTACATCCCTAGCCGCTACCCTGACTATCTATAGTATCAGCAGCTCACTCATTAGTTATCTGCAATGCAGACATGTCCAAGTCCGAGACTGTTCTCAGTTCAACTGGTGCAATGGTGACTTGGGAAATGTTGCAACCACTGGCTGAATCCAACTCTCAAGAACTGTTGTCTCAGATTCAGCATACTAGGGATGGGCGATATGGGCTTAAAAATATATATCACGATATTTCTGGTATTTATTACGATAACGATATCAATGACGATAATTCAGGGAATCCTGTTTCTTTTAAGAAAAATATTATCTTTTCTATGTTTACCCAAAATAGGGTGAGCATTAATGAGTTCACATGTAATGTAAAGACTGTTTTAATTCATACTGGAAGCCGGCGGGCACTCTTGCACAGAAACTCCACATATCCATAGCAGAAGAAATACTACTGACGATGCTCCAGGAAGGTATCCAGTTATCGCTGAATAAAACGCACAACGGAGGTAGAGACATTTTAACTGATGAAACTTGAGGAAAATAAACATACGACTTAGGGCTGGACGATATGGCCAAAATTGATATCACGATATATTTCTTAATTTCGGTCGATACGATATAATTCCGATATCGATATGAACACTATTTATCTGAAATAGAAATCTTTTGTAACATTATAAATGCCTTTATCATCACTTTTGATCAATTTTAAGCATCCTTGCTAAATAAAAGTATTAATTTCTATAATTTCTTTCCCAAAAAAATAATAAAAATTATACTGAATGGAATAGTGTATAATGTTACAAAAGCTTTTTATTTCAGATAAATGCTGATCTTTGGATCTCAACTGTTTTAAATATTGATAATCAGCAAATCAGCATATCAGAATGATTTCTGAAGGATCATGTGACACTGAAAACTGGAGTAATGATGCTGAAAATTCAGCTGCACATCACAGAAATAAATTACATTTTAAAATCTATTCAAATAGAAAGCAATTTTAAATAGTAAAAATATTTCAACATTTTACTGTTTTTGCTGTACTTTGGATCAAATAAATGCAGCCTTGGTGAGCAGAAGAAAATTCTTAAAAAAAAAAAAAAATCTTACTGTTCAAAAACTTTTGACTGGTAGTGTAGGCTGATTATTCTTATAGAGTGAAACAAATGTGCTTCAGCCAGAAAAAAAGGGTATGAAAAGTGCCCAGAGTCGCTGCAGAAAACAACAAAAACTGGAAATGTTGCTGGAGACGGGCTTATTTAAAATGAAAACTCATTCTCTGCCAGCAGGAGGCGCTTTTAGAGTGATAAAACTAGCGGTTTCTCCAGTAATGGCTGTAATCAAAGCAGCTCCGCTCATGAACGCTTCATCAGATCAAATGAAAATGCCATCGAAACTTTTCTGAAGACAGTCAATTCCCTGCTCGAGCTCCTCATTTAGCGATATAGGCTCCTCCTCCTCAATTTCATGTCCGCTTTCCGTGATGTCGCTCCGCACTGTCGCACATAGAAATGTGTCAACAACTAGACTTTATCGTTATTATCGCAGGAAGACTAATTCTTATCATGGGGAGAATTTTTACCGGTATATCGCAAACGATAAGATATTGCCCATCCCTACAGCATACTCTTGATTGGAGAACTACTGCCACCAGATGACGAGCTAGATCAAAAATGTGCCACCAGCATCACCAAACGGAAATGGAAAAACACGTTTCTGAACACTCCCTCTGTCCTCAGTTATTTGGATAAGCCGATAACTCTGCCCCAAATTCAAACTTTTGTTTGAGACAATGTTGCTGTGTCGATCTAGTTCGGATGCTCTAACAGTGAAATGTTGGCCCTGTCACAAATGTCTCAAACACTCTATGTGTACTTGCACTCTTGTGGATTTACAGTGGCCGCCGTTTGCCCATGTCCTTTAAGTCCACAAGACTGTAGAGTGTCCCATTTGTCTAAGGCGAGCTCCACTGCATACTTCTACCCAACAGTCAAATTGGCATTACGTCACCAAAGTGTGGGCTTTGAAGAAGACTGAGGGCTTAGGGTGCCATTGGGAAAGGATCGTCGTGATAGCACCACCGAGCCACAGTGTTTACAGTTTTCAGGGAAATTAATATATAAATGACTTACATTGTGTTATTTCCATATTAGAATGAGATAGGAGAAAGAATCAGAAAAATTACAAACTTCAGCTTTAAATAAATGTAATCCAGTCAAATAAGTCAGTCAGTTTTGTTTACTCATTAGGCGAATTAATGAAAAATGGCAACAAAAAAAATTACAAACTTCAGCTTTAAATAAATGTAATCCAGTCAAATAAGTCAGTTAGTTTTGTTTACTCATTAGGCGAATTAATTAAAAATGGCAAATAGTGAAAAAAGAAAATATGACTGGAAGGACTGAGAAAATACGAGACAGTAAGTTGTGATAAATATTTCTGACTGCTTGCTGCAGTTCCGAAGTAGTTTTATGAAATATGAAATGGAGGTTAGCAATTGCAAGTGTATGTGTGAAATATTTAATCTGCTGAGCACATATTTGTTCTCTCTCAGTATGTTCTCTCAGCACAGACTCTAATTGCTTTTCTGACATATGGTAGAGTGGGTATAGAAAAGAATCACCCCCTTTAAAGGGGTCCTATTATGCTCTTTTACAAAGTCTTAATTTTGTTTTGGGGGTGTACTAGAACATGTTCTCATGCTTGGTTTTTCACATAATGTACATTATTAAAATACCTTTCTCCCCGTCCTGGCACAAACTGGCTCGATTAGTTCCGGCTTTGATGAAGGTCCGCCTTCCGAAAAACAAAATGTGTTGTGATTGGTTAGCTGTCGGTTAGCAATTGCAAGTGTATGTGTGAAATATTTAATCTGCTGAGCACATATTTGTTCTCTCTCAGTATGTTCTCTCAGCACAGACTCTAATTGCTTTTCTGACATATGGTAGAGTGGGTATAGAAAAGAATCACCCCCTTTAAAGGGGTCCTATTATGCTCTTTTACAAAGTCTTAATTTTGTTTTGGGGGTGTACTAGAACATGCTCTCATGCTTGGTTTTTCACATAATGTACATTATTAAAATACCTTTCTCCCCGTCCTGGCACAAACGGCTCGATTAGTTCCGGCTTTGATGAAGGTCCGCCTTCCGAAAAACAAAATGTGTTGTGATTGGTTAGCTGTCCCAGTGCATTGTGATTGGCGAACAGCTTAGACGGTGTTTCAGTACTGCCACGCCCCTTGCTCCGTCTTTCAACAAAAGCTTTTTGGCGAATCCGGCAGGCACTGTACTCCCTCATGTTGTGGAAGCTGTCCTCAGTAAAATGCGCAGCACACAATAGCAAATTGGGGTTATAATGCTCAGGGACAGAGTTAAAAAATAAATTGCAACCACTGTTTCCTGACATCATCCGCTTTCGGAAGCCCAAACAAAGACGTGTGGGCACGGAGGTGAAAAAGACAGCGTTTCAGGCAGTCGCGCACCGGACGAGAAGCGTAGCGTCACGCCACGCCACGTCTTTAAAATTCAAATACTTTATTTTCTATGAGTGTAGGCACACCGGCGGCGCCGTGCGGCGTCTGTCCGCGGCGCCCAAGGCACTGTCAAAAGATCTCTGGGATAAAGTTGTGGACAGGCACAAATCAGGAGATGGATGCAAAAACAATTCAAAGGCTTTATCAATGCCTAGAAGCACAGTGAAGTATATTACTAAGAAGTGGAAGGTATTTGGTAGAACACAGACCCTCCCTGGATCAGGACGTCGCTCCAAACTGGATGAAAGAGCCAGGAGGAAACTGGCCAGAGAGGCGACCAAGAGACCCTACAGCAACTCTGAAGCAGCTGCAGGAATTTATGACAAAGAGTGGTCATTGTGTGCATGTGACAACAATATCACTAAGGCTGCATTTACACTGCAGATCTGGATGCCCAAATCGGATTTTTTGACTATATCTGATTTTTTTGAAGACCCGCTTACACCTTCTTTTAAAAGTGTCCCCCGTATCCGATATCTGCATTTACACTACACAGGCTTAACTTGACGTGGTTCAATGCATTAGACAGTGATATTAAAAGACCAAACTCTGCACACACTATTAATAAAGCATACTTTGTATTGAAAAGCAGATGAGATTTCACCCGAATGGAGTCTCCACAACAGTTAGCAATAGATTGAAGCGCTCGTCTGTGCACGTTTTTTTCCTCATTAAAAACAATTGTGTTCATCAGTAATTGTATTTTCAGCACCAGATCGCCTCTTATTTAACACAAATGAACAAAATGAATACTCTGCTAGTCAACTAGAGATGTTTCATTTGTAATAGATATATCTGTACAGCGAGATGTTTCATAAACATTTGACATCCAAGTCGCATTGACGGGAATATCCGATCTGTCCGCTTACATGGCAGACGCAAATTATTTATTTCCACATATGAATGAGGCCTGAAACCGATCTGAGTATATCGGAATCCATTAGATTTTTTCCTGCTTGCACGGTCGTGGGCCATATCCGATCTGTGCCACATGGGAGGAAAAATCGGAATTGGGTCACTTGAACCATGCAGTGTAAATGTGGCCTATTTCTCCACAAATGTGGCTTGTTGCAAAAAAAAGCCACTCCTCAAGAAAGGCCACATGCAGTCACCACTGAGCTTTGCCAAAACACACCTTGAAGATTCTGAGGCAGATGAGACTAAAATTGAACTGGACTGGAGCACTTGTCAGGATAGAAGGAAAAAATGATGGGGCAAAATACCGTCAAGTTCTTGAGGAAAATCTTAATTAAAGCAAAAGGTGGTTCAACAAAATACTGACACAAGGGGGTGATCCTTTATCCAACTCTGATTCAGTTTTTTTTTTTTCTGACATGTTGGTGTTTTATCTTTCACTTGGATGTTATAAGTTGCACTGAGTAAATGCAGCTGGATAAAACAAAAACTGTGTCTGTCTTCATTTCAGGCTGTAAAGCAACAAAATGTGATTTTTTTAAAGGGGGGTGATTCTTTTCTATACCCAATGTATATCACTGGAAAAAAATTCTCATTGGATGAGCTCTGAAGAAAGAACAAGTTTTTTGTGTTTGATTTTTGTATGCAATTGGAATTGAACATAGTTTTGCATTCATGTGCTTTCTACCACAGAGGGTGGTGCTGTGGCTGGTGTTCGTCTCCACCTTCTGCTTCTGTTTGACATGGCAGTTCAATCAGTTTGTCCTACTGGTGCAGGCCCTTATAATCTTTACTCTGGATTGCCTGGACTTCTTCACAGCGGAACAGGTAACACTCAAAGACACATATTAGAGACTTTTCACCTTTTGAAGTTCATGTGTGGTGGGATATTCATTTCTTTCTCCCTATAGGTGGTTTCTCTGTACCTGATGCAGGTGTTGAGTCTGTTATTGGTGTGGTTACTGCAGTTCTGCAATTCTATGATTCTGGGCTCTCTAGTGCTCAGCTTCATTGTGTCTGCCCTCTTCATCAAACACTTCCAGGTCAGTGTGCATCTCAGTACACAAGTAAAAATGATTTAAGTTGGGAAAGTAAGAGTATAAATCCTATTTTTGTGATTCTAAGAACATACGTTGCATGAAATCCCGGATACCACATGTATTTATCTATTCAATATGTGCGTTTTCATCCAAGGCATGTGATTTTTAGCATGTGCCCATCTGCAGTATGTCACTATAAAGCGTTTTGTCAGATCTTAGAATGACATTAAGCAGATCTCCTTGTAACGTTTATGGTTTAGACTGTACTGAATATGTTAATATGCTCCTTAAAGATGATAATCAAATGTTTGTACATAAATATGATTAAAGTGAACACAATGCTTTCCAGATGAGCTGTACATATGCTTACTGGGATGTGAGCTCTAGTATTGCATTCTGAATTACCAAACAGAATGAAAAATAAATAAATAAAACAAATAAAAAAGAATCTAAAGGTGTATTTGGGCAGTTTAGTTTGATCAATTTTAACATTTCTGTGCAGTAGCTCATAGCATTTTTTGTTGAAAAGATGCAGCATGTAGGAGTTATAACCTTGCTTAGTTTTTTATTGAACTGGGTAAAAGATTTTAATTATTTCATATTGTTTTTTCATTGAATGTGTTAGCCATGTAAAAGAAACAAAGACAGAACACTGTGTTTTCAAATTGATTTATTTAAGTGGTGGGGTGGAAAAATGACATGTATAGCAGTTATTTTACAGAACCATATAAAAAGGAAACACACACATATTTATTATTATTATTATTTTAGTTTTTTTTGGTTTTGTTTAATTGCAGAATGTGACTGGATTGCTATTTTTTTTTACAGGTTAACTCGTGTAAATTCTCCAAATAATCCCATATGCTCATCTTTGATATTTCCTGTATAATGAATTAGCGCAACTAAATACATGATGTAATAGGTTACATGTGATGACAATGCCTAAAAACAGTAGACGCGCATCATTGCTTAGCTACGAACTGAAAGCAATTACTTTAAAGACATTTCCTGAAAATGCATCCCATCCGGATAGGGCTTTAGACTAAAAAATGTGTACATGAGGCACTTCATCACTTTTGTTTTCGTGTCTGAGCCTTATATGTGTTCCCTAACACCCAGTTCTGTTTTGATTGAAAACTGAGGCTAAGAATATTGTTGTAGTTTATTTATTAATACCTGCTGTGTGTATGTGTGGTTTTCAGACGGGACTAAAGACGGGCGGCTTTGTTATACGAATAGGAAAACTGGCTCTTCACACACTCCTAGTCCTCACATTAACTTTCACCATCAATTATTCAGCCAAGGTGAGCTATGAATCGTGTTCTACATCGTCTGCCCTGTCATTAATGGTAAAATAGAGCTTCTCTACCTGCTCCTCCTGAGACACTACAGTAGCTTTGCTTTCACTCTCATTATCTTTCTTCATATCGCACTCTCATGAAAACCCACATTGCCAATCTCATGAGACACTTACATGAATGATTTCATCCTTCACTCTTTCCATTTTAATTGGCAGAAAATACTCCAGCTGAAATCGGACGAGCACATCTTTAAGTTCATAAAGGCCAAGTTTGGCCTCGGGGCAACGAGGTAAGTCTTTGGTCATCTCTCATGGCGCTACATCTAAGCCTTTTATCATCAGTCAAATGGCATATCGTGGTGTCTTATTCAGAAGTGAGATCTACTCGGAGACTAGAGCGAGCCATTAATCCGCTGTGATTAAATGCGTCCAGCTCTGGTGGAAAAGTAACATCTGGCACACAATATACTCTGCTCATCCACTAGATATTTATGAAGCCATTTCAGTTGATCAGATGAGTTGCTGCTCCCAATAATCTGTGTAATATATATCCAGCCCGTACTCCCTCCCTGTCTCTTTCTTTCAGAGACTTTGATGCCAGTCTCTATCTGTGCGAAGAGGCTTTTGGCTTGTTGCCATTGGATACATTTGAGCGGTTGGCTGGCACAGTGCTGCTCTATCCGTATCTGTGCACCCTCAGTGTGCTCTTCATCTTGCTGCTGCTCGTGGCGCTCTCTAATCTCAGGTAAAACTACTGCATTACTTCCTGTCTGTAGGAAATGCACATGTGCGCTACCTCGCCATATGCTACGCATTAGCGAGACGTGTATCTGGGAATTTAAATATTCTCATAATGTTCATTTTTCTAATTAGAGCACAAAAATAGGCTGAAAATGACCAGTAGAGCAGTGATTATAGCTTCATAACCACCTTATCCACCACAGGTCATAATGCTAATTTAAAATTAGAGTTATTAGTCTTTATTAGATGTGCTACATAATAATTGGACACTAGATGTATGTTTTTTCCATTAGGGCTTTTGAATGTGTGTTATTATGTTCAGTTCAAAGCAGATTTGCTGTTGCTTTAAGGGCTGCTGTGACCCTATTTTTTGTTCTCTTTTCTTATCAGAATCACAGGAGCCCATAAACACCCAGAGGCTTTTCACCACACATGCACACACGCACGCACGCACACACACACACACACACACACACTAATCAGAAAGGCTGTTAACTCTTCTGTACTTAAAAAATAAACAAATAAATAAAAAAACACACACGCTTGAACTCTGAATAATGCAGCTGATATTATGCTTTAATGTGCAACAGTGTTCTTTCTTTTTTCCCCCTCTTGTTTGACGTCTAATTTTTCATTCCAGCACTAATGGGTCAGGCCAAGCATGCAGGGAGAGAGAAGACAGGACCTTTAGGATGCGTCCGGATGTTGCTTACAATCTCTTGCACACCGTCTTCTTCGGCCTGCTCGCCTTTTCCACTATGAGGTAAACAACTTGTAAATTGGAAAGTTTTGTTGCTTTCATACCACGTATCTCTTTCCCTCCATGCAAATATTTTCCTTCTGTATTTTCCTCACTCTGCCGTCTGTAATTTCATTCCCTGCTGCTGCCGCTATGGTGCATCTCAATTTCAACCTCTTCTCTGCTTCCACTTTAATTTCCTGTCCTCCACACATCTTCTTCATCTTATTAGTCCGTATCCCAAGTTGACAGTTCATTCGAGATTTTAATGATGAATGAATTATGGTAGAACATTGCGATATCGCTTCATAAAGTTTCGTTTGGTGTCAGAATAGTAATAGATTTGGAAATGAATGCTGCTCGAGTCTTTCATGTTTGCAGTGTGTTATCTGAGCTTTATGATAAAATAGAAAACACCAATAGATTTCTATCTTTGCTGCTGGCAGGATGAAATATTTGTGGACTGGCCACATGTGTGCATTCGCCGCCTTTGGGGTGTGTGGTAAGGAGGTGTGGTCGTTGTATCTGAGGGTCCTTCACTGCAACACTAGAACCATGGTGAGTGACAGATCTTTCACAAACACACAGTGCATTTGAGAGATACTGGCACATTTATTCACTAGCGTAAAAAGTTTGGGATATTTCAGTAAAAAAAAACAGCAATGAAATATTACAATTTAAAAAAAACTACTTTTTCTATTTTAATATATTGTAAAATGTATTTTATTTCTGTGATAGCATTGCTGAGTTTTCAGCAGCCATTACATCAGTGTCACATGATCCATCAGAATTCACTCTAATATGCTGATCTGATGCTTAAGTAAAAATTTTCATTATTATCAATAATGCTTTTTGATGTTCAAAAGCATTTATTTGAAACAGAATTCTGTAATAGAAATGTCTTTACTGTCACTTTTGGTCAATTGAATGTGTCCTTGCCGAATAAAAGTTTTTCTTAAAACAACAAAACAAAACAAAAAAAAAAGTCTTAACCAAAACCTTTGATCAGTGGTGTGTTTACTTATATACACACACACACACACACTGTAGCGGAGAATTTGAGTTGTAACACATTTGACTAAATTGTCCTCTAGAAAAGGAGAAATGAGACAGAAGTAATATGGCTAATCATATTTCAGGATATATATTCTGTAGAAATACGACTGTCCAATGAAAAACAGGGAACTATTTTCCAGGGAAGCTTGCATCATGTTAGGAGTATGTTGTGTCATGTGAGGGGGAACACATGAATAATTTACATTTCATATAAAAGTGGCTTGCTAATGCACAGTCCAATTCCAAGTCTTATTTCACAGCATATTCACATTTTCATAAAACAGTTTTGAAAAATCAAAACACATTTTCATAAAAAAAAGTTTAACACTCAGATTTAAATTTTTAATGTAAAGTGCAATAATTATCAACATTTTCTTATAATATTTCTTGCATTGGCTGCAAAGCTCACAACTTTCTCACAGTATCTTACCCCAAAGCATAGGACACACTTTGCCTCCCAGCAACAATTACATGGCTTTATACAGTATTCTGTAGATTCACCAACTTATACGAAAATATATGTAATGTTTTTTTTTTGTTTGTTTTTTTTTGCTCGTAATGTTAAAAATGTAAAAAAAAAATCTCACTCACTTCTATATGTTCATGTAACGTAAATTGGTTTGGTAGATTAAGCATACGTTAAAGTTTACCCAGTTTACCCCATTCTCTCCGGTACTCAGTACAAGTAATAGCAAAAAGCAAAAAGCAGAGTCTAATAATATAATTTAGTACATGTAGAAGCTCACAAAAGATCTTTATCACATATCGCTATATGCAAGTGTCATTTTGAAGCTATGATGCTCAATGTTATGAACTAATATTGAGTTTCAGTAAAGCATGGTTTTCCTCTGCATAAATGTGCCCATGTGCACACAGCCGAACATTTTATTTCCCCACTAGGTGGCAATGTAGTTACAGCCCTCAAGCCTAAACAATTACAACCTGTTTCTTCCCATTTATATGGTTATTTATCCATTTATGTTATTAATCTGTTTCCACAGATGAGACTGATCAGGTACTCTGTTCCTATTGTAATACTGGCGTTACTTTATTACAAGGTAAGACATTTTCAACTATGCTGTCATGTATCTATTTGCATATATTGCTAAGCTGCCTGGGTAGCTGTAGGCCATAAACAGTCACGCAGGAATCCTAGTGCAAGCAAATGGAATCCGTATCACACTGTGTGTGCTATTTAGGAGAGTTTTGGATCCACAATGTTATTTTTTTTCTGTTAACACAGCAGTGGGAAGAAGGAATTAGACATGGATTGTTCAGATTTGTGTATGTTTGTGCATTTGGGTGTTTATTGGGCTGCTTTGTTGATCATCAATTATTGTGAGTCATTCCCATTACAGCTGTCTCACACTCTCCCTCCATCTCAATCGCTGTCTTTCTGTTGACAGTTCTGGCCCAGACTGATGGAGGAGATATCTGAGCTGAGAGAGTTTTATGACCCAGACACTATGGAGCTAATGGAGTGGATCAGGTAAAGCAGCTGTAATCTTCCTCTTACATGCTACAAGCAAACACTCGCAGACAACAATCAGACCAGAAGTCTGTGACCTTAGGCAACAGGCACGCAGGCCACCGATGGCACTACAAAGGATATTCATCCTGGCATTGATAAGATGAATTTTTAATTTACTTAGTTGTTTATTTTAGAAGTGTTGAATTCACTCGCATCTGCATGCCAAACTTCTTTCGCAGTAGTCCATCCTTATCATCACACAATCTGTTTTTATTTAGCTGTACGGTCTGTGATGGAGTTTGGTCTGTTTTTTTATTATTTATTTATTTTTTTTGCTTCTCACAGAATAATTAGTATAATCGAGAAGATGTTTCCGCTAGCAGCGTCGTATAAGTGCTACAAACACATAATTACGAATCAGTCTGGCATACACGGTCTTTAAAGGAACAGTTCACTCAAAAATGAAAAATAGCTGAAAATTTACTCACCCTCAGGCCATTCAAGATGTAGATGAGTTTGTTTATTTATCAGAACAGATTTGGAGAAATTTAGCATTACATCACTCACCAATGGATCCTCTACAGTGAATGGGCGCCGTCAGAATGAGAGTCCAAACAGCTGATAAAAACATCATAGTAATCCAGAAGTAATCAATATGACTCCAGTCCATCAGCTAACATCGTGTGAAGCAAAGGCTGTTTGTAATAAATCCATCATTAAGACGATTCTGACTTGAAAATTATTTTTGCTGCTAAAAAACTAGTCCTCCATCCTCAGTATTGCTTTCTCCAGTGACAAAGCTGTCTTGTCTGAATCAGGAGAGAAATATGCACAGATCAAGCACTGTTTAAAAGCAAAAACAGTTCCATTCTAAACACATATATTGGTGGATTTTGATGTGAGAGCACAACAGGGAATGGACTTTTTCATTGGAGGAAAATTTTTTGGGAGGAAATGTTTTCTCATACTTTGTCCAGAAGTGGAGGTTTAAAGTTAAAATTAATTAACCTTAATTAATGGATTTGTTATTTACAGGTGCATCTCAATAAATTAGAATGTTGTGGAAAAGTTCATTTATTTCAGTAATTCAACTCAAATTGTGAAACTCGTGTATTAAATAAATTCAATGCACACAGACTGAAGTAGTTTAAGTCTTTGGTTCTTTTAATTGTGATGATTTTGGCTCACATTGAACAAAAACCCCACATTCAACAAATTAGAATACTTCATAAGACCAATAAAAAAAAAAGTATGTTCATTTACTCTACATGTACTCAATACTTGGTAGGGGCTCCTTTAGCTTTACAATTTGAGTTGAATTACTGAAATAAATGAACTTTTCCACGACATTCTAATTTATTGAGATGCACCTGTACAAACACACAGCTTTTCACTTCAGAAGACTAATTGGTGACCTGGAGTCGTGTGGACACTGTGTATGATTTTATAGTAAGTGTGTGAAAATACATTTTTCCACTTTTGTGATTTTGCTGGTTTTATTAGACAGCTGTATAGTGTAGAGTGACAGGTGCTGTGCTTCAAAACCTAGTGAGCTGCCTTGCTGTTTGCTGCCCACATAGGCAGCATCCTCATGAGTGATTGATTTGGAAGAGCAACAATATGTAAGTGCAAATGACAAGTCTCGGTTAACCTAGCTAGTGTTTGTTTTTTGTTGTTTTTTAAAATAAAGAATAATAATAAAAAAAGATAAATATAGATAAAGTAGAATTAAAATAGAATAGAAAGTGCTAGAGTTAGAGGGTCAAATAAAGATGGAACAGATGTGTTTTTAGTCGTTTCTTGAAGATGGCTAAGGACTCAGCTGCTCGGATTGAGTTGGGCAGGTCATTCCACCAGGAGGGAACAGTTAATGAAAAAGTCTGTGAAAGTGATTTTGTGCCTCTTTGAGATGGCACAATAATGCGTCGTTCACTTGTAGAACGCAAGCTTCTAGAGGGCACATAACTCTGAAGTAATGCATTTAAGTAAAGGGGTGCAGAGCCAGTGGTAGTTTTGTAGGCAAACATTAATGCTAATATAAATACAATGTAAGACAACAATATAAAACAAATCAATAGCCTAATCAGCAGCTGACACTTAATCATGGTAAGCAATATTAAAAAGGTGGGTTTTCAACAGTTTCTAGTGAGCTACTAGTCCATTTTAATTAATTAAAATATGTTATTATTATTTGAAGCTGAATTAATTACAAGTGCTTCTATAATCATGTCTCTTGCTTTGTGTGCCATCTTGGATGGATTTTTTCCCCCTTTACAGTCACCATGAAATGGAAATTGCGATCGTATTTTCTTCTCAATTGTGATATATACAAGTGAAATGGCTTCTAGAATGAAAAAAAAAATGTAGGGTGGGACTTAATTTTTCCATCTGGAATTGATTGGATCGTTGTCTTTTGCTAATTGCTGTGATCTCATGTGAATGACAGATTGCAGGAGGGGAGGCTTTATTGCTCAGGGATGTAATTAGGATTTCACTCATAGTTGAAATCAAATGATCAACTCTGAACACAGAAACAGCGTTCCTAGCTGCAAAAAACAACAACAACAAAAACACTAACTTTCATTAACCAAAAAGGGAATAATACAGAGCTCTACCATTTATGTACTGTACCTACTATAAAGCCCAAAGTATACCAGTTTTTATGTAAACACTAGTGTACATGTACAGCTGAACACATAGCCTTTCAAAATATACTCCGTTTGATGGCATGCATAAATCAAAATCCCTTTCAAGGAAAGTCAGTTCACTCATGGCCATATTTACAACATCTCCTGGCAGCTGTTTTGGACATACATCAAGACAGGCTTGCATCTACTTGAATAGGGAAATACTGAAATCCCAAAAACTCACATTTAAATAACATTTAAACCGTAACAAAATCTGACATGAACTGTCCTATAAATGTTTGTTTCTTATTCTCAAATGCTGTTAAAAAGCATACATTCCAGATTGGTCCAGCCAATGTGCATGTGTCTGCGGGAACCGGAACTTCTGTTGGCAGCTGCAGTGAAGCAATGACTTTACAATTTAGCGATTGGCACTTTTATGTGGAAGGCGGGATATATTCAGAAATATTGCCCGTTGCTCTTTTTCCCATTCGTTGTAATATAAGTTAACATTGGCAAACTGAGAGTTTTGTTCAGTGACTGGCTATTTCTTCGAATTTATAATGAATAAAAATGTGTTTGTGCTCTTTCAAGCTAGAGTTGCGGGTATCCACCTCAAGCCACCTCACTCAAGGGCTTCTATTGTTTTTGGTCATCTCCAGTAGTTTGTTGTTGTTATTCCGTATCTTCCATATCTTCCAAATCAGCATCCATGATCAGAGTTGCTGTCTTGCGGACCAACTAATTAGTGAAAAAATGCAAGGTACATGTGTGAGCTAAACGTACAATACGTGTACCCAACCATTTAAGTAAAACCCCAAGTACACTTTGCTGACTGATGTCTTTGGTTATGTCATGTCTTGCTTTTTTTCAGATGTTGTGTTACATTAAAAGTAGTTCAACACAGTGTGTTCTGTTCCATTGCATTGTACAAGAATGTGACTTGACAAAACGGGTCCCATGAGAAAGGGGTTGGGAACCTCTGGGTTAGTTCATAGCACAAACCACCCATGTGAATGCCATCATAATCTCTAACTAAGAGTTTAGAACCTACAATCTCTGCAGATCAGCTGAGAAGGCTTTTGGGGGGAGGGTGTCATGTGTATGTGTCTTCTCTTCATGACTGATCAGTGGCCTTTCATTTGAACCGCATCTGTCCCGTAGATGGAAGCGAGTCCTTTGTCACAGTTCTGAGACTCTGTCATCACAGTCAGCCTTACCATTGTGAACGCCTCCCTGCCATGTAATTAATTTTCCCTCTTTTGTTTTGCAGTTTTCTACTGTGCACTCTTTTATTATAGCTCCCATAATGGAGTTATTTCTGAATGTTGCCTTGTTTTGAAAAAATGAAGATACATTAGTCTTTTGTTTTCTCTGAAGAAAAAACTTTCTCAGTCCCTCCGAGCACAAGTAATTTAAGATGTATTTTCCTCCTGCTGTTTTCTCTGTTTTTATTTCTTTCTTTCCTTCATGTTTTCGACGTCTTCGCTCTCACTTCCACTCTAATTGTCACTCTAGCCACTTTCCACCTCTTTCCAGTTTAATTTGATCAAATTAGTGGCTTTTGCTGCTGCTGCTGCTGTAGACCTCTCGGTGGAGATGTCGTTGAAGATGTCTCGGTGGAGATATTTCACTAACGCAGCGCTAATAGCCGTGCTCACAGATGCTAGCCTTGTTTGAACTCCAGCAGAATTTCACAAATTCACAAACACCCCAATATACACACTCTGTACACAAATGAAAGGTTAGCTGACACCATTTCACACTTGTCATTTTTCTTGTTTTACCACTGAGAATTGTACATTTTGTCTTTCACATAAATTGCCGCTTTTGCCAGTTGTTGTGGAATCTTACAAGAAGTTGTAAGTTGTTAAATTGTTCATTTAAAAACATTACAAATAGGTTTACTGGTCCAAATTACTTCTTTAAGTGACTTCTGAAACCTAGAGAGTGAAATTTCATTTTACTTGAGTTCATTCCTTTTGAGTATAGAATCAATCATTGACTTTAAGTTGTGCTCTCGCCCGATCAATCAGTCTATCATCACTTTGTGAACCCTCCTCATTCAGATGCTCTCTCTCTCTCTCTCTCTCTCTCTCTCTCTCTCTCTCTCTCTCTGAAACACAGGATTAAGGTCCACACAACTTGAAAGCACTCACAGATCCCATCCTGATTTAGCTTTATCTCCACAGTGGCCAGTCTGTTTGCCATCTGAAGGACATTTAAGTAAGGTTATCCACCTTATTTTTTAACATAAGAGCAGGCACGGCCATTTGTAACTTAAATGTGCAAGCCTTCTGGAGTCATCTGCTTTCAATGATTTTTAGCTGTACAAAATAGCACGTTATCCTGCTGGGAATTGCAAACTGGTATTTCTTATCATATTATTTT